AAGAACAATAGGATATTGTGACCATATTCAAAAATGCAGTGGATATAAATCTGGATTTATCACATTATTATGTCGTGGCATTTTCAAATTGGTAATAACTTTATTGTTGGTAAAAATGATTATTGCACACTGAAATTAGATCAATGTTGACAATTAACAAACAATTGTCGAAACGTGAACGGAAAAATTAACCAACTTTGCTTATGTTAAAAACTAAAAGTTTTAGAAGAAAAAATACATTTAAACATTTAAAAGTAAATAATTCCAAAACCGATAGACTTAGACAATTTAAATAAGAGTACCTTTTTTATGTAAAATTGAATGCTCTTTGTAGCTCTTTAAACGAGCAGTGTGTATCTAGCGCCCTCTACAAGCAATAACAAAACAAGTTTCAAATTCGTATTTCTCATGCTCGAAAACATAAAACTACCAAATTTTATGTTAATAGTACAAAAAGCTTCAAAATTATCAAGAAATTTCGAAATAAGAATTTAACTTTCAACTATAAGAGATGTTAGGTTAAATCATCATATTTTGGTGTGTAGTATTTCCGGTATTCGGATTTCCCATTCTTTCTGACTCACCCTGTATACCTTAGTGTAGAATTATCTGTGCTGGGTACAAAGGAAGGAGAAGTAAATACAGCGTATTCTGCATTGACCTCCATATGCAGATCTACGGATAAACACGGAGAAACCGTCATTAGACCGATGGTAAGCTCTGGATGTGGGGCATGGGCGCGAATGTCTTCGAGAGGAGCATCTTGATGAGAATATTTGGGCCAGTTCGGGAGACGGATGGATGGAGATCAAGATACAACTGCGAGTTGTATGAGATTTATAAAAACCTTCCACTGGCAGAGTTCGTCAGACTCCAACGCTTAAGATGGCCTGGTCACGTGATCAGAATGGGAGAGGAGAGAGTGCCGGGACGATTGATCGGTAGAAGATTACAGGGAGTGAGAGATGGTCGGGAGTAGGAGTTGAAGAAGAAAATCTAGGGACAGGGATGAATGGAGACAGAGGCTGAGGGAGGCCAAGGTTCGATACGGGCTAAATATACTTGAATACTTCAGCAACAAAGTTGCTGAATTGGTCATTGGTCTTTGACCGTTGTTGTTTACGCTTTACACGTCACAATTTGCAAAACAATTGGAGTATTGTAAAATTAATATGTATGCTGACGATATACAGTTATATTTTTCGTTCCCAGGTATTGATTATCATGGTGCTGAAGCTAAAATAAATAGTTACTTAAATAGAATGTATCGTGTGGCAGCTAACTATTATTTGAGAGTCAACCCAAGTAAATCCATGTATATGTGTCTCGGTAATGCCAGGGCTAGTAGCAGACCTGTGTTAAATATACAAATGAATGGTGAAATAATCAGTTTAGTTCAAGAATCCAAATGCTTAGGGTTAAGAATAGATAATACGTTTAGATACAGAGCGCAGATTGGCTATTACATCAAAAATGTGTCTATCTTACGGTGGATCTGAAAAAGTAACTGTGTTTTGTTCTATACCAGTTTAATTGCATAGCGGCACTCTACCACCCGGCTGTTGATGTGGTGACTTCTAACCGCATACAGAGAGTGCAAAACAGTTTTCTGAGGTATATTTATGGTATCAGAAAATTTGATAGAATTACTCATAAGATGAAAGATATAAAATGGTTGTCAATGAAACAAAGAAGAGATTTTCATAGCTTATGTCTTTTTCATAAAATTATAATCTCATGTAAGCCCGAATATCTGTATTTGAAAGCAGCTTCAGCTATCTATATAAATTGCCAAATGACATGCGAACTATGAGCTTAGGTATATTCAGGAAGCGTTTTTTGCGGTTGAGGTTTCAGCAGCATGGGGGAGAATAATATCTGATGCAAGGATATTAATCGTTGGCATGTTGGGATTTGTGAAGGCAGTATAAATTTTTTGTTTTATTTGATTAAGTATTTTATAATTCATTTTATATGTTTTTTTTCTTTCTTATGTTTTCTTTTTTGCTTAATTTTTGTTTTTTTTTGCAACTAACTGGGTTGGTATGAGCAGACATTGTCTGGAACCCGCCCATTGTGTTCCTTCTTTAATTTATATTATGAAAGAGAAATATGTAGAATGTTATTTCTATTTGTAGAAGGCACAATGAAGATATATTATTTATAATATTTATTTATAACAATTTATTAATGCCAGCTGTTAAGCTATAAAAATAGAAATATTCCACTTATTAAGGGACAACATCTTCACTATTGAAGTAATCTCTCCTTATCACATGTTGCATAGCTATCTTCATAATTGCTACTTCTGTAAAGATTAGCTGCATTTGCTTGAGGTAAGCAACATAAAATTAAGATTTAAAATATTCTAAGCAATGTAAGCTTAATATACTGTCAAATATAATCTCAAAAAAATCCTGTATTTACAACCTATGTAGAAGGAGATAATGTAGAGTGTGCATTTATGTAGGATCAAGACAATCGGGAAAATGGATTTGTGCCTAAAATGTAAAAGTGGGAAGATGGTTTACAGTTCAAGTTCCCAAGTCCTAAAGCTACTATATGTGTTTGTTGCCTAAGTCATTATCTATGCCTGATTGTAAATTCTTCTTAATTGTGTAAGATTAAGATTACTTAAAATTAAATTGCAGTTGGCAAAAAAAACTTAATTAATTATTATATTGCAAATAAAAAAAATGTTATTTTATTAGCAGCAAAAGTATTCTTAATGATAACAAAAGAACTAATTTGATAAATTATCCATCAACCCAAGTAGTTAATATTTGTGGTGAATTAGTCACACGTCGTCAGTAAATCACACGTTGACCATCTTTTCCATCTCTCCCATGATTCTCATTTGGTAATTTCATTCCTTTCTTGCTTCCGTTCTCACACCCGTTTCTTGCCAAACTCCACCTTAACTGAGTGAGGTAGAATTCGGGTTGCTATCAATCTCGATTCTCCACACCAATTTGTGTTCTCTAAGACGTCTTGGCGGCCGACGAAGAGTGTAGTGTAGTCCGGGGCCGGCATCATCCCGAGTTCTTTGAACTATAATTAGCGAAGGTGTGCTATCATTTACCTAATTACAAAGGCCGGCAGCGATGAGCGTAGAGTCGCGCGGGCCTCCCGAAATTTCGAAACACCCGTAATTTCTGGGTCGTTTTTGAACCGCGCCATCGTCTCGAAGATCAGCAATAAAGAGGAAAAACGGGTTGGCGGTAGCGCCTTCATCAGCGAATGGGTGGCAGATTAACGTTTAAAAGGGTGTGCTATTGCTGAAAGAGGTCAAACTCCCATTTTTAAGTCTTTTTATTTCTCGGCAATTTGATTAATGTTTTTTAGTTAGCATTTTTTTTACAATAATTGAATTGAAGCGGATATAAACTCGCCGTTGAGTCGCATAACTTTTGGAAGGCTAATTTACCACTTACATTCAGCCTTTCTTTTAATATCGCCCGTAAGATGGCAGCAACGACGATTAAACCAAACGGTATAAGAAATAATTTAAAAGCGCGACCCTGTACGGTCCGAACCGTAATTATCGCGGCCTTCGCTGCACGTAAAAGCCCCTTTCTTTGGTAATCCGCTAGTTCTTGGCATCTTTACACCCGAGCAAAGGCGCCGCGTGTACATTTCCGCAATTACGTCGCGAATACGACCGTAATTTCTTAATTTGGTCAACATTTACAACTCTGAATTGAAAAAAGAATTTAAAAGTAGTGTAATTAGTTTTGTGGTTTAAATTTGAGACATAAAACTTAATTGAAACGCATCTCAAGATAAATATACACGTGTAGAACGACCATTATCGAACGTTAGTCCAACGTTTAATTGCTGAGTACGATAAATTACTAACAAGAGGTAAGATCACGCGATCGCCCCGAATTAATTTCACTTTTTATCTTAAAAAAAAGCTTTTTAAAGAGGAATTATTTACGTTCATTCGTAGAAGGAGGAGACCTCCCTTTTATTTGTTTAATCCATTCCCTTAAAAAAATCTGCCCATCAAACAACCCCTCTTCCTTCAACGTCAAAAAAGGGTAAAAGGTTACTCAAACCTCTTTTGTTAGAATACGTACATCCATTCCTGAATCCTAATAGAAAATTCCGCAACCCCCGACCCCTTCTAATCCCTTTTATTAACCCCGATCATCATCCCCAAAGCGAATGCAAGATATCACTTTCGCCTCGAAAAACCCCTTCGAAATCAAGCCTCGACGGGGGATTGCGCTCATTTCGACGCCGCTTTTAATTGTTATAATAAGATAAAGCTCGTTAAAGCAGAACCCATAAATTAGTCCAAAGGGAATTAGGACCAATTATCTGGGGGTTGGATCGCTGAAAAATGACGGTTTAAATGCCGACGTCCGCTGTAGGGGTTGTTTTGAGTTATTTGCGTGCTCACCAATTAGACCGCGGGGGTATCATTACGAAATCACCCCGGAGGATGAAATTTGTAAACAATAACGAACGGTGCTGCCCTCTCTGTTAAGGTTAGGAAACTATCAAAGCAGGTACAAAAAAGTAACAAAAACAAACACAATGAAAAAATTGCAATAAATAAATTCTGTTATTAAGTAAAAAATGAATTATAAATCGAATAAGCTCATTCCGTCATAATAAATGAAATTGAAAGGATGTTGTTTAGAAAAGCTCGACATAGCACTTTCACTGCGTAACCATTACCACTACTACAAATTCCCGGTTGAGTCGTCCGGATGGCGACTAAAAAACGACGCCGACAAGACGCCCAAAGACCCAGAGCGACCAGTCTAAGCTACTACTGACCTCTACAACTCGTCTTCACTAAGAAGAACTCCTCAATGACTTACATAAGAGAGGTGGACCCCACGGTGTAGAAGTAAAAAGTAGAGAGAGACGAGGATATCGGCACGCGCTCCGAATCCCCACTATTCTTCGCCGCAACCCCTTGTAGATGATGGTGGGGACGGAGAACCCAAACCTACAAAGCTTTAGGACTCCGACCGAACCATATCATTCCTGTAGTGCTTCTCGAGGTGTTCGCTTTAAAGCTCTCTCCCTTATCCCGAAGAAAAAAAAAATCGGTTCACGAGTGTTAAAGTTCCTCCTATGGCAACTGTTCTGCAAGCTATGACTTTAGGGCAAGCTAATAAAATGTACAACGTTATCCAGCAACATTCACCCACGCAAACTAATTGTGTTATCGTATCAACTGGGATGACGACGGCCGCCAAGTCTGTCATTCAAGGAAAAAGACCTTTGGCGCCGGCTACTGAAAGATCTTCAGTCTTGGTGACCAACAACAACGATCTCAGGTGTAAAAGAAAAATCCAATTTGTACCTTACGGTGGTCCAACTCAACAACCGGCTTCCGTGGCAAGAAGAAATGCGAGGGAAAGAAATCGTGTTAAGCAAGTCAATAATGGATTTGCCACATTAAGACAACACATTCCCCCGTCTGTTGCTCAAGCGTTCTCCCCTACCAATTCTTCTTCATCAAGAGGTGCAAGTAAGAAACTAAGCAAAGTTGAGACTTTGAGATTAGCAGTGGAGTACATTAGAAGTCTTCAACAGATGATCGAAGATCATGAAGCTGAATTAGGAAATGGTACTTCAAACGAAAACATTCAAGATAATCGATTTTATAATAACTCCCCTGATATGCAATACACATATCTTTTACCAACCCCGGCATGTTCGGAAGCTTCAGCTTCTCCAACCCCTTCACACCATAGTTCAGACGGTTCGATTTCAACGACGTCTTTTAATTCAAATCTTCACCTTATTCAACAAAACGACTATGAAAATTACGACCCACGAAGTCCTGAAGATGAGGAGTTATTAGACGCTATTTTTCATTGGCAGCAAGAATAACTTTTCTTCAGTTTATCACGGTAAGTGTATTTTTTAATTAAAAATTCAAAGATTTTATTTCGAATGGTTCAAAATAGGGGTTGAAAACTAGCTGTGCAACTCCAGGTCGTCTACCTGTGTACGGCGGCAACCCCTAAGAATTTTTTTTTGTGTGCGCCCAGAACATAAAAAGAGTTTTATGCAAGGATTTTCTTAAGACTCCCTGCATAAAAGGCATTCATTCCTTGGGGATGCACACAATACAGTCTGCGAAATTCTCCTCGGTACATAATTTATTTTTTCCTACGTCTCCTGTCGTATACGACGGATGAAAGAAAAAAAAAATAGGGAACTCGTTTTTGAACTTGCTAAAGCGTAAGTGAAACGAGTTCCTTAACGGTTTCTTTTATAACAGAATTATTAATATTATTAATAAACCATTTTTACTTATAAATTTTTTTAATTACAGAGAATCAAGGCCAGTCCAAATAAACGCACCAAACCTTACGAAAAATCTCAACGTAACCAAGTGCCTTTTTCATCATTCCAACAAAAAAATAATCGAACGAAAAAAAGTGATATTTTTACGTAGAGTGAAATCCTATTTTTGTTACTGTCTCTAAGAGAGTATCATTGTTAAATTTCTAGTCAATTTTACATTTTGTACATAACATTGTAAATATTGTTTATATACATTTTTAGCATTTTAAGGATCCTAATTGTTTTTTTTTTTCTTAAAATAAAACTTTGTTTCGCGAATTTTTCATCTTAGAATTAGAACGAAACGCAGGAATATACGTACTGACTTATTTTATTCCTGACTAATTACCTTTTAACTTATTAGGTTGTAAAAGCTCTTTAAGTTACTATTTCTTTGTAGTACACGACTCGTGCCTTATTACGAACACGTTTATAATGAAAACGGTTTGAATCAAAAAAAGACTTATTTATTTTTATTAGCGTTTAGAAGAAAACGATAATTGTAACGCGATTTTTGTGTATGTACTTTTATACACATCTCTTTAAAACGAAATACAAGTTTTTATTTTAGATAATTATAAAATGAATCGTTTAATTCTACTTTCCCTTTCATTTCCTTGTTTTTTACATTAAAAAAATTTTGTAGAAAGTTGTTTTTTTGCATTAAAAATGAAATAATTTAAGGGTGGGGGTTAATAGGCAAGGTGATTCGATGGCGCGTGGCCAACACCTGCCCCTCAGAAAAACACATGTCCATATGGAAATTGTTCGAAAACTTATTATCGGGGTTTGTCATCGCACATCCGGTCTACCGGACGACGCCGACGACTGCTTTTTTTGTTTTTACAAATTGATCTGCTTTTCCCTTCTTTATTACTTGCCGTACTCTCAATTTTAACGTGAGAGTTAATTACCCAATATGTATCCATTAAGAAATAAAGTGAAGTCCATTAACGAAGGTAAAAGGTGATTAATTAAAAATGAAGAATAAAAAAACTTTAAAGACAGGAAATAGTTTCAAAATCTCCGCAAAATCTTCTATTATTGCAAAAACCTTTTAAATCTGTAATAATAAACTCTGAACAATATTGTATCGCGTTACACTTCCTGTTAAAAATATTTCTTGCATTTAAGGCGTGGTTTACTTCCTACTAAGGGTAGGAAGCATTGTTTGTTTCCTGCATCTTCCTACGGGAACACACCCCTGCACACGTTGGGCGTAAATTTTAATTCAATATTTTTTTGCAATTTCTCCTTCAACAATCCTAAATGACAATAGACCCTTTTGTATTTATCAACACCTCCCTTTCAAGACTGTTTATTTCGACCATTGTTCGACTTTTTTTATTATCCATACACCCTTTCAACTCTTATACAGTAGATCTTTTATCTTCGTTGCTAATGCAAAAGCATAAAACGCACGTGTCTCGCTTTACCTATGTAATTATTATATCCAAAGAAAATAAGTAAATTGCACAATAGACTTGAAGTTATAAATAAATCGTATCAATGGAAAGAAAGAAATTATTTCTTCTTAGTCGCGAGAAGAACACGAATTTGTGTTTGTAAATATATTTTTTGATTATTATATCTCACAAATTAATGAAGGGATTTATTTAGATGATAAGTTAAAATAAATATAGTGAAGGTTACATAAAACATATTAAGTACAAAATATTTATATTTTCAATCATACGCCACTGTTTTTTTTCAAGCATCACATGCGAGTTATTCTGAGAGGTGACGTAAACTTTTCTAGGAATATTGTCTCAATAAATATCGCTCGAACATATGTGGAGGTGAGCTTAAAACAGTAATTATTCGGATTTATTTAAAAAAATCGCTTTTAAAGTGTAAAAAAGGTACAATTACTGAAATTTTCGATTCAAAACATGTAATTCTATATAGATAAACATGTCGTCTCCATCAAGACTCACTCTAAATCTCTAAATGGAGACGACATGTTTATGAGATCTTGTAATCTCCACTGCGATGACGCACGTAATGAATGAATTTAAATTTTGTATTGTTGTTCTAGATTGTTCTAGAGTTGTTCTACATTGTTCTACATTGTGTTTGAAAAAACGGGTTTTTTGGCTACCCCCATTTTTGGAAAAATCAGATTTTCTTTATTGTTCTTATTGTTGAAAATGGTTGCACAGATTGCCTTAGTTTCCTAAAATTATTTTTAAAAACCGATTCTAGTAAAGCAACAAATAAAAAAAGAGCTGAACTATTAACAGGAATAAATTATTTTGTAAGCGAGAATATTGCTGACGTAATAATAGTGAATGCTACTTCAAATATTGCGTTTCTTGCACACAACTATTTTAAGAAGAATTCAGTTAGTGTAGGACTAAAAACTGCAATAATTGTTTAAACGTTAAATCAATCGACATTAACATCGTAACAGTATTTGGCTATGCACAGCTACAGCAAGCAATAGAAAACTACATGCAAACTTTAAGCAACAATTGCAAAAAATGTTATTTAGCCTTCAATATGGACAGTTGCTGTTTATAGAGACTACGAATGGAGAGAACAATAAAATAAAATTGAGTGATTGTAAATTTACAACTCCACAACAAATTCTATATCCTCGCAGGTGTCATCAGTTACGAAGGTAATCAATCTTTGAATGATGTAGGACACTACACGCTATTTATGCCCAACAATGCCAATTGGATATTATTTAATGACTTACGTAAAAAATCCGTCCAGCTACTGAAATAAATGCACAAATGTGCATATATGTTTATAAATGAGGAAAGTAATGTAATCATGATTTAGTTTATTTAGTTATAGTTTACTTTAGAATAAGTTATTGTACTGCTATAGTAATACTGATCGAATAGTTATTGTTTTATTTGTTAGTTTAGTTTATTTATTAATTTATTATTATATATTTATTATTATAAGTTTAAAGAGAAAGGTGATTTTTAGAAAATTAGTCAGATTATTCCATATTTTTTAATTTTTTAAAACTATTATTATATTAAAGGTTAGGTTCACTGATTCAACAAAACCTGTCCGATATCACAACAACTCAAATTTAAGGTTTTTCTACTAAAAATAGCTGTTCTGAATTGTTCTAATTGTTGTAAGTACTAATTTTTAATATGAAACTTAAAAAAAACTAAAGTTGTAGTGATTAAATAAAATTTTAAGTAACTAGAACAACAAGAACAAATTTAGAGCAACAAAGCAGATGTGATATTGCAAAATTAATGTCCGTGTAACTAGAAAAAAATTTTTTTTTCTCTAGTTTAAACGTAAAATACACCTAGAACAATTTGAATCAGCAAAGTTTGAGTTATTTTAGATCGTTATATGTTTTTTCAATGTTATTGTGTAATTTAAAACCGCGGACGCAAAAATTACTGACTGAAAACCTCCAAAAACTTCAATTTTCAAAGAGTAAAGTATCCTTTATAGAGTTGTTCTAGTGAAAATATTCGCTGTTCCAGATTGCGTTAGATATAATAAGTAGGTATATATTTGTAATATAGAATTGAAAATAGAAAAACTATGGTCACAGCAATCAACTAGACATTTTGGCAGCCAAACCTATCTTTAGTTATAAATTCGTAATGCTGTATTCCATAATTTTGATTTTCTAGAACAATAACTAGAACAACTAGAACAACCCAGAACAACAAAGAAACTATGATTTTCCAAAAAAGTCAAAAAACCCGTTGAACAATTCTAGAACAATCTAGAACAATGAAAAATTTAGAAATCAAAAAATGGGGGTAACTTCCCGCACTCGCACGTAATCCTTTTTGAGTCTTCATGAAACTTTTACCTATCTTCTTTCTTAGCTGATATCTTCCATATTATTAGATATAGCAAAAAATTAAATGCACCATTTGAACATTTTCTGCTCTTTCTAATAATATCTTTTAATAGCAATTATACAATTTAATTTAATAACAATTACAAATAACCCATAACTTACATAATCTTTGAAATTTTTTTTAAGTTATACACGATGGTCAGAAATGTGCGTTAAATTTAAATCTTTAAAAGTCGAAAGGTTATTTTTTTAATGTCAACCCCACTTTTTCCCTAACCATCGTATTATACGCTGAAAAATAAGGAGACTTTGTCATTACATCCCATACATATAGAGTCAGCTCGTCGTGACAAACACCGTACAGTCACAAACGGGAATTAACCAGAAACAGAAAAATCCAAAACTTTAGTAGTTTTTGGCCAAACACGTGTTTGTGCAAACGTGCTATCGCGTGTTTACACCATTAGAAAGAGCAGAACATTTTCGATAAGATAGATATGGTTCTAGAGTTTTCTCCTGGTCAAATAAGACAGTTTTAAAGTGGATAAAACGTCTGAATTTAGTAGTTTTTGGCCAAAAACGTACTTGTGTAATCGCATCGCCGCGTCTTATACACCATTAGAAAGAGTAGAAAATTTTCGATAAGATAGATATACCCCCTATTTTCCTCCCTATCAAATAAGAAAGTTGTTTCGAGGAAGAGCAATTAAGCGTTTCTGCATGTAGGGATGTATATTAAGGGTGATTTAAGCATGACGCCGATAGATATTGACCGACGAAAACTCGGATTAAGATAGTTGAATGAGCGCTTTTTCTGACTGTGATAACAGTTTTTTTAAAATTTGGTTTGATAACAATTGCACAAGGGCTTAAAATTTGGTAATTTTGAGTTATTTTAAGTACAGAGCGGTGTTCTTCATTTTTTATTGATCCTAGTATCAACTTATCGGCAGACGATGGTTTTAGATAAAGAAAGAATCAAGCTTTCAAATGCTGTATTTAGTTTTTCTCTATCTCTAATAATAAGGAAGATATCAGCTAAGAAAGTAGATAGGAAATTATGGATAAAACTTTGTTGCTGGCAGGCTTGATTTGCCACTACTTTTGAATCATTCCGTAGATGTGTCTGACTTCTTGTGCATCTTCTAATAATTGTGCTATTTGTTAACCCTATAAGGTCTGCTATACAAGAAGAAAAAGAGAAAAACTTTTCCATCGTCTTTGTTTCCAGGACATTACATACCTAAATCTATGCTGAGAAAGGAGAAAAGAACAAATGCAGAGTAGATTACAGACGAGACAATAGATCTAAATGAGAGAAGGAACATTAAAAGTAGATTGAAAGCAGCCATCGGAAATAAAGCTAAAAGAAATAGAATAAACAAGAACATGGGAGGAACATTTCTCCAAGATGCTGAGTACACGGGAAGAAACAGGAACACAACCATATGGAGGAGAGCAACCTGTTCTGAGAATAAACATAAAACTTTCAACTAAACATGAAGTCATACCAAAACTATCCAAACTGCCTACAATGCGAATAACAAGTTCAGACAAGATATCGGCTGAATTCTTAAAAGCAGATTCACAACACTCTACTAAAGTAATCAAATCATTACTCACATTACTACTTCTCAATATGATTAATAAAATCATAGTTCGGATAATAAATACAAGGATAATGGACCAAATTGAAACAAAACTTAGAAAGGAACAGGCACGTTTCAGACAAAACAGATCATGGAGGGTCACAATATATATGGTGTTTGATTCACTAGACCACAGAC